TTCAAGTCATGCGTTCACCTCACGCCGTGCTGTCACGGACTAGGTACTAGTCAGCGATATATACCGCACTCGTCGTTTCCCACTTCTTACCTGTCTACCCAAGTTCAAGATGTCCGTGACCGACCACAACCTGAAAGAATCGTGCCAAAGTCTTATGCGCGACTGGGACATTTGGTTTTACGAAGGTTGCGATCCAGCTTTTGTAGAAGCCAGGCCCACCTATCTCGCATCCTCGGAAGACCGCCAGGTCGCCTTGCTAGCCATGTATAAGCCAGACGCCTTTCCTCAAGGCGACGGAGTACATGTAAACATGAGAAGTCCGAAGCTGAAGGACGCTTTAGATGACCTGGCAAGGGAGCATGGTTTGGTAGGTTGTTTGAGACATCCACGGCACCAAATCGCGTTTTGGTTTTGCAGATGTGAGTTCAATATGTGCAATTTGAGCGCGAATGACCCAAGCAGAGCTCTAATCTTTTGTTATCCATAGTGGCAGACTACGAAGCGGGCGATAGGATGGGATGGGACGACTTACCACTCGGCGTTATTCTTCTTGATGGTCTAATTCTACTCGGCCCTCCTGAGAGTGCTGGCTTGTGAAAGGCACAGATGAAGGTTGGGATATCGTGGTTGAGCTAAAGAGTGGCGGGTACGCGTTTTATACGTGAATGATTTGTGGAACATACAGACGATAAGACTCCCATTCAAGAAGGGTGCAACTCTTGTCGGTGGGCCTTTGTCAGTGGCACGTATTGGTCGACCATACAAGCATCTTTTAGCTCTCTGGCTCATGCCTTCTTTGTTCTGTGGACTGCATATTGTGACGGCTGTCGTTGATAGCCCGTAGAAGCCTCTCACGGTCAAAGTCACATCCCAATGCAATGCGCAGTCATGTCTGAATCATTTCATTTCGTGTATGTCCAGCTTCGAGAGCTGTTTCATAGCCACACGTCTGTTCAGACCGTTGACACTCCTTTTATAATCTTTTTGTGGACCAAGCCCTTATGCGGCGATGGTAACCTCAACCTCGACACCGGCCTCGATGTTGATGATGATCTGCTTGACAACCTCGGTGGGAGCGTGGAGGTCGATGAGGCCTAAGTCCACAATTAGCTGCTGTCCGGTCGACTGTCTGGAGTGGTATGCACTTACGCTTGTGGATGCGCATCTCGTAGGTGTCCCAGGTCTTGGAACCCTCACCGCAAGGAGTCTTACGGGTGGTGATCTTCAAGTGCTTGGTGGGCAGGCGGACGGGGCCCTTGACGCGGAGCTCCTTGTTCTTGGCACGGTCGATGAGCTCCTGGCAGACCTTCTCGAGGCTCTTGACGTTGCGGGAGGTGAGGGTGATGCGGATCTGAACGCGCAGTCAGTACACAGCCTCGTGCGCATAGAATACATGGCGACGTACCTTGTGGATCTTGGGGCCCTCGCCGAAGTCCTTCTCGCCCTTGTTGTAAGACATCTTGTCGGATTGGAGTGTGGTGTTGTTGTAGGTTCTGAGTTAGATTCCAGTCACGACCTGGATCCTTGATCGCGGTAATGTGATGACTGGGGTGGCGTTAAAATTTGCGACGGCGTTCGGAGTCGTTAAGTTCTTCGCGATGCGCATTTTCGATCTGTGGGCGATGCGCGCCAAGATTGCGGACGCTAGTGCCGTAACTGGTATCGCTCCCTTTTGATCGCTCGGCAGGCGGGCCCATGAGCCATCATGACTGCATGACTGCAGACAAACAACAGAAATTGAACCTTTTAAACACTTCGAGCGTTACACATACTGTGCACTGTACCTCTGAGCCCGGCCTTGGATTTCGTCTTTCAACGTCACCAACAGAGATGTCGCTACCCCACTTCGCGCCATTCCCAGACGCAAAAGTCAGAAAGAGCATACTGCCCGACGAATGGCAGTTGTACCTGGATTCGTGGGCTTCGCTATCTGAGCTCTATCTGAGATTAGAGGACCAAAAGTTCTCGGAGGCGACCAAAGAGGAGAGCTCTCTCACGCAGTTTCTCCTGTCTTTCTTTCATGAACTGGCCCTGGACGATGAGCTAGCAGCTAAAGTTGCGTCATTACGAAAGAAGACTTTCTTTTTATTACACAGAATTCTTTCCAAAGAAGAGATACCCACTCCATTGCTCAGCTGGTCAGCCCTATCTGACATCTGTCATGCGTATCCAAAGAGCGAGCAGTTCCGTACGCTCTTGCAAGGGTCATGGAAGCGAAAGGGTGCGGCAATCGAGAAGTCGTTACAGACAGCGAAAACGTCTCTAATCCGGAACTTGGAATCAAAGCGACCGGAAGAGGCCGAAAAGACACTTGATCGGATCGCACCTCTTCTCAGAGCCTCGTCAGATGCCAGCGTGTTCATGCTCACAGGGTCCGACTTCCTTGACTCTCTGCTCTCCGCATACCCACAAGTACCGAAATCAATGCAGAAGAAGCTGGTTACGACTGCATATCTTGGCCTGACAGCCGCATTAGAAGGACCAAAGTCGAATTACTCATTGCTCTCCGATCACCTGTACAGCCTAAAATCCAGTGAGGAGCAAGATCAGAAGAAGGAGCCTGGCAAGAAGACATTGGTTGCTGATCTTGTCACCAACACACCGCTACTGGAAAAGATAAGAGAAAAAGCTACTACTCCGGAAGCAACAAGAGTGAAGAATACTGCAGCATCGTTGAGCGCATTTCGGCAGTCTAGTCTAGCTCGGCCGAAGAGGTTGATTCGACGAAAGGTAGACAAAGGCAAAGCAGCAGCAGATCAAGATAGCTATGGCCACGGAGCATTCACCGGCGAGATACACGTCCACCGGATGAGTATGATTAGCCAGATCCAGGATCTCTTTCCAGACCTGGGTGCAGGCTTCATTGTCAAGTGCTTGGATGAGTACAACGACGACATCGAGCAGGTTACCGCACATCTTTTGGAAGATTCGTTACCGCCACACCTAATCGAGGCTGATCGGAGCGAGAAACTGTAAGCACTTCCACTTGAGCTTCTGCTATCATAGCTTTGATCAAACATACTAACCTATACTAGACCCACACCGACAACAGCCTCACAGCCAATGCCACCACCGAGATCAAGCCAACACCTCCCAGAACGGCGCAACGTATTTGACGACGACGAATTCGACAGGCTTGCAGTTGACACATCGCGATTCCACATTGGTCGCAGAGGTCAGGATTCGACTGCCGATAAAATCTTGTCCGACCGCAGTAAAGCGCCCGCCAAATCCGCAATCATGGCTGCGCTGGCTGCCTTTGATTCAGATGACGACGAGCGGGATGACACGTACGATGCAGAAGACGTTGGCGCATCTGTCGACACTGCCGCACACGGACCTGGCGAGGATGCCGACTTGGGCGACAAGAATGAAGAAGCCCTATTCCGCGCTTACACCATGACACCTGAGCTGTTCGGTCGTGAGTCGGAGACAAGGCGGGGTAAAGCTCGAACAGCCCTCAAGAGCGAAACTGGTATGACCGACGAAGCAATCGAAGGCTGGGCCATCATGATGGGGCGCAATCCTCGCGCACTGCGGCGGCTCGAAGCGAAGTTTTCCAATTTCCAGGGTCAGCAGCGAGAGCTTCAATCGACAGCATGGCGGGACAGCCCTGCAGGATCTGGCGACGAAGCGAGTGGTGATGGGCAAGGGGGTCGCGGCGGAAGAGGCGGCGGCGGCAGAGGAAGGGGCAGAGGGCGCGGACGTGGTGGCCCAGGTGGTGGACGAGGTGGTGCCAGCGTCGCAGGTCCTGCTGACGACAAAGGTACGCAAATATCACGGCAGCGCAAGGAGGCCAACAAGGGCTCAAGTGCGAACCATAACCGGAAAGCTCAACGAGGCAAGAAGATGGCCCGAGCAGGTTTCCCGGCAAGTTGAGGGGACATACTGTTCACTCAGGTCAGGAAGCAACAGTTTATCCTTTGCATTCAGAAATATATCTACACATCTCAGACGAGGCTGCAGCCGTACCTTGAATGCAAAAAGCGTAGTAGCATCACCATAACCTAACGATATCGGGATCAACCACCCTATCGCCCAACCCCGCATCTTTACCCAAAAAGTCACCCAAGCCACGCAACCCTATCCCCTATCATTCCATCCCCTCTCCCAAAAAAAAAAGGCGCGTAGCTAAGAAGCTCTCCGACGGGGAATCGACTGTTTGCATGATTAGGTCAAAGCTGAAGACACTCCTGAATAGGTAGTACATACACCCCGGTCTCCCGCGCTTGTAAACACTTCGTGAACATTTGACAAGCGGAAATCATGACCACTAGACCATCGAAGATGTTGCTGTTACCGTCACATGACGTAAGCAGATGGATATGTGTGTTTGATGAGAGAAAGCTCAAATTATGCGTCTATATTTTCTGAAATCATGGTTTTGAGGGGGTTTTGGCTTGGGTAGCAAGTATCACGCGGCCAACACCAAGGGCCAGGATGCGGGGTAGGCTCGTGGTGCCATGTGGTGATGGCAGCCGGGCTTACCGGATATCAGTCAGCCAGCCAGTCCGGGGACGCAGGGTCGTGGATGGGACTGGCATGGCTGGGTTTTGCGGCTGGGAATTTTAGTTGGCTGATGTGGGAAACTTCAAAAACGCGTGCGCGACTGCGCGGCATGCTGGAATGCGACGCGACGACATACACACGTTCGGAAACCGTAGAAAGCATCGTAGAGCGCTCAAGCGTGTTCTCTTTTTTTTTGTAACGCGAGAGGCAAACATTTGCCCCTCTAGCCGCTTCTGTGCGTGCCAAAACGCTGATTCGCTTATGTCTTTGGGCGTAGTTTACGCCCAAGGGGCCTGCGCAGTACTCCCTGAAGGTGTCCTCATAACTCTTCACCCATGCATCGCATTACATCGCATCACACGTTGGACTCATCAAATTAATGGTACCACCATATATTCAGCGCATCTTTTGCGCGGTATCTTCATGAAGTCGTGATAACCGAGCACCTCTCCACTGTGAGCCCGGTACAAGACGTAGCACTACACCACTACTCAAAGTCGGCGCAAATACCCGTTGTTGTACTTCCACAACTGCTCCAAGCACACCGCAGCAGCAACGTACTTCCAGCTCCTCAACGTGCGGTAGTTCTCCCAGCCATCCGTCTCCAGCGCGACCATGAAGCACGCAATGGAGCGCGGCAACGCCTCCGAATCCGCATCGCCGTCCCAGTCTCCATCACCCATTACTATATTCTTGATCATGTCGCTGACATCGCGGTTGAAGCGTTCTTGAACCTCGAGGTTGGCTTCGCGGACGTAGCGGGAGGGTGCACGATCTTTCTTGCCAAGGATGTTACCACTAAACACCTCAAGCTCGGTAAGACGTGAGCCTCGAGACGGACGATGTGTGTCCATAATTTCGAACATGTTCTCTTCGTACGCTTCACGGAGTTGTTCTGCGAAATCCCAATGGTGTTCCCATTGTACTCCACGGGTCTCTCGGATCACATATCGCTTGAGCTTCTGTACCAGCGTTTCATCACCCCGGCGATGGTGAGATGTTCGGTAGGCGTTCTTCATCTTATCGAAGAACGTTTTTTCGTCGATCCGCCGATACAGAACTCCTAGGACCTTTGTGCTTGTGTAGTATGAACTCCTTGGTTTCTCAGCATTTAGCACACTCACTTCGTCGAGCTCGTCACCCTCAAGCTCCTCGAGTTCAGCAGCGCCCAAGTCGTTGACGATGAGGTTCGATCCTGGCGCCATGAAGTCAGGGCGGATGTGATCAGAACCTGGCGGTATCTGAGCCATTTTGGCAGGAATCCCAGATTTTCCAAAGTCGACGGCATCGGATGCGAGCTTGGCAAGAAGCAGGCACTCTGCACCTAGAGTGCCAAAAGGAGCCTTATCAGCGCGAATCTTGTGTTTGTTCGAAATCTGTCCCAATCGATCCATGTTCATGTATTCGATAAAGAAGTCAACGATATCGTCGGCAGTTACCGGCCGCCCCAAATCCTTTGCCGGCGTGGATGGGTAGTCGGCGGGTTGATAAACGATTCTCGGAATCAGTCGAGTGTCGTGAATGATGTGGAACAAGTCTCCATCAAGATCACCGCCACTTAGCTTCGATGGTAGATCCCGCGGACCTTGCTGTGAGAATACGACGCAGTTGTGCAGTGCTCTGAGGGGCGAACCTTCTGGAACATCGACTGCTTTGACGACCTGAATATCGCCTGGGTGTAGCGCAGGGGCTCTCGTGATGACTATTCGCTCGCCAACGAGTATGGTTCTCTTCAGTTTGTCGTTCGTATCGTAATCTTGTAGCGGAATGTAGACCTCGCCCTCTTTCAGAATGTTCCATTCGTCCATGATGCCATAAAGGAGGTAGCCGTTCTTGATTGGAATACGCGCGCGATATTTGATATCTCTCAGGCTTGACATAGCTGCCACTTCCACGATGTCGGTGAGGAAGCTGTCCGCGTGGAATGATAGACCCAATTCATTCATTCGCCGAAACAGTGACGGGACTCTCGCGAGATCACCCGAGTGGGAGTATTCTAGCAGGCTTGTTAGCACATATGACCATACGTTCGGGAAGCAGTTCATGGCGATGCCGCCGAGTATGAGGAACCAAACATCCTTTCAGGCCGCACAGCATGTGCTAGAAAACCGGGACTTACCGAGAAGGCTGGCTGCATTCAGAGGATGCTCCGTCATGAGTTTCAGTTCTGTGACAGCTTCATCCTGGACCGCCATGAAGTTTTCCGCAGGTATACGTAAATCCTCAAGGATCTTGATGAACTGGTGGTTCAGATATACTCTGAGAGGCTTGTAGGCAGCTCCACAGATTTCCAAATCCCTCCACTCTTCTTTGGCGACGTATTTGGTCATACTCTTTCGGGCGTGCAGTTGATCACCTTGCAATGTCGTATCTAGTGATAGTACCCCCTTCGCACCTCTGAACCGGATCTGTAGCACCGTCGGCCTGAGTGCTCTACGGTCCGGCTGGAAGGCGTTCCAAACTTTTTGGAAGAGGCTCAATGACAAGGTTCCGCAGCCGTCACTGAATGTGCGGTTGTTTCTCGTGACGTCGTCCTTCATTTCGTTTACATAGGCGGTTTTCGAGATTGGCACCGAGAATGTTGTATCTAGATGTCGAGGTACAATGTCAGCACACATCTCACATACGTTTCGTACCGAGTTGAACCCTACCGGAGAACGCCTGCCCTATCCTCGCCGCGCATTTTGCGGCGCAACGAATCTGGGAAAAGTCACCCAAATCGCGAATGCTCAATGAAGTCAGTACAAGTCCCACACGCAAATCATACGTACTTACACATCTCTTGCGCGGACGACAATATCATCTTCCTTGAAAGGAGCCATAAACCAAGCTTCATGAGTACGGAGTGACGCATGGGAAAAGCCGAGAAATTGGAATGTATGTCCGGCGACCGTGATACCCGTTCGAAGTACGCCTCGAAAGCGTTCGTAGACTCTCTCTTGCGATGCCCGTGGGTCATGGAATACCGGCAGCTCGTCTTCATCTGCGAAGAACACGCGCATGAAGAACTGGGCGTGGGTTTTGTACTTCCTCAATATACGATTGGAGACGACCCAGTCAGGGCCGCGTAGCAGGATACCTAAAATATGACTTTAGTGTTGCAATTTGCAGTATTGGAAGTCTACATACCGGTAGGTGTGACCGTAGCCTTGTATGTTAAGGCGAGGTGATTTTGCTTCTTCTGTTTGACGTCCCAGATCCGGGAAAGCTCTTCAAGACGTTGACAACATTCGATGCTTTCATCAAGAATGCGCTTAATGGTCTTGATCATGAAGCTTTTCGCTTCAACAGCTGGTGCAGGCGTTGGTATTCGCTTTCCTCTGCGACTGACTGCGTTTGAAGTAAGATCTGCCGCCTTAACACCCGGTGTAGGCGTTGGTATCCGTTTCCCAAGGAGACGAACTGCGTTCGCGGTGAGTTCTGCACCATGCTTCTCAGCAGCATTTTGTACTACCGGTATCAGTTCCTTCATCTTCCACGGGGCGATTGTACCCTCTAGCATGAGCGCTGTCAGTTGGTAACGGATATTGAACGTGAAGGTCTGCGGAAAAGATGGTCCATAGTCGCTAAGCATCTTGTTGACGACTGCATACTCGTGTTCAATACTGCCCGTCAAAGCGGTGGGCTCCATGGTCTTCATCCATTTTGTGTTAGGTCCCGCGAAGAAGGGCTTAACAAAGGTCCAAGCAAGATCAACGCTTCGGGTGTCGGAGAAGGCGATCTTGTAGACCATACACAAAGCGGAGTTCATGTCGTGAGATTTACTCAATTTGCATAGTCTTTGTAGCCGAAGAACTGGTTTTGGCGGCTTGATGCCGAGTCTCGACAATGCGGCAGAGATGTCGTTCGGTGCTTGCTCACCGGCATACAAGTGTAGATCATTAGTCGATTGAATGTCGTAGAACTTCGGTGGAGACTTGAGGGTGAATGTTATCGTTCCATGTTGGCCGTTGCCGCGAGACGGAACGATGTGCTCTATAGTAGCATAATCAATATCAATCCTGCAATGCCAGTTGAAGGCTTCGGCGGTTTCTGCCCGGAGGTAAATCTGTGTGGGTAAGCATCCGTACTAACATTGACGTGTTCGATGTAGAAGGATATACCTACCACTAGAGCATTCTTGCCGAACGTAATGTAACCTTGCCTTTTGTCCTTGAGCTTCTGGTCAAAGACGAGCTTGCCAAGGTGATCGTAATCCCAGACGCCTGTCATCAGGGTACGGAAAGACAACGTCGACCCTCCCGGACGCTGAAGTTTCGCGATAGGCGTCGGACTTTTGAATCTTTTGGCCTCTTCTATCTCTTGCTTCTCTCTGAGTGACTTGAGTTGGAGCGGATCTTCCCGACGCTTGTTACTTTGGCGAAAGTCGAGCGGCTGATTTCCAAAATAAAGAGGTTGCAGCGCCTGGCGTCGGCCCTGACTACCGCGTATATCCAGAAATCGATTCCCACTGCTAACGCTCGGTACAGTGAGAATGGCGAAATCATTGTGTTGACTGGAAAACTTTCGAACGTCGAATGCGAACACGTCGACGCTGTGGAGAGCGTCCTGAAGGGTGTAACGTAAGAGGACGTGATTGGCGTCTTTGGGAACCTAATGTTACGGCATCTGGTTAGCGACTGCTTTCCTATTCGCGCCCAGCGGTTACTAGCTCAGGTATTGCTGTGAGCTTACTTTCGGAATATAGATGTCCATCTTGAACGACGGTGTTACCTCGAAAGGCTGGCTCACCAGACGTGTGAGTGATAAGCTTTATTGGCACTCCGAAGTCGCGCGAATTGAGGCAAAAGAGTAGACAATGTGAGGCAGGAAGCTACAGGTCGCTGCGAGCTCGCTGACTGGGGAAGTGGGGATGGCGCTAAGGGGATTGGGCAAGACGCGTTCTCACGTGCGCGTTGCGGGGTTACCTTTCACCTTTGAATCTGAACCACAGCAGACCGCTGATAACAGGCACGTAATTGTACTGTGCTGCTTAGTCAAAACTGCAACCATTGTGGATGTGAGAGAATTCGGCTCTGCTGCCTAGTCCTGTACGACAGTCGCGTAAAAAGGCCCACATGCGGCGTGTCACCATGCGACAGGTCGCTCTGGAGGAGGGTTTACCAAGACACATCTCTCCCACAAAAGGCAACGATCATCCCACGCTATTCACGACTCATACAACGCAGCCATCCGCATCTGTACGTATCCCCACGCGGTTACAGGCTCGTACTTCTTCGGCTTCTCTTCATCCCAACAACCTGGCAACGCATCGATAACTGTATCCATATTTGGTGTCGCGAACACAGGGATTGAGTAGCGATCTGGTACTACTATCTCCCTGTCGTTCCGTTTGCCGTCTTCAGTGACCTTTTGAAGGACCGGAGGTAGGCCAACACGATGCACACTGCTTGTCCAACGATCGTTGCTCCATCTCGCCATGAGATCTCCGATATTGACCAACACAGTGTCCTCGATGGGCTCTGCAGCACGGAAAGTACCTGGGTTCGCAGGTTCCTGTACTTCAAGTCCTCCAACGTTGTCCTGGAATAGCAAAGTGAGCGTGCCAAAGTCGGAATGCGCGTTGATCCTGCTGCGCTCATTGTTGCGTAGCTGTTCGGCGTCGATGGAGGGGTAGTGAAGAAGCCGGAGTTGGAAGAGCGACTGCGAATGGGTTGGAGAGAGGCCTGGTGCTGGAACGTTGAGAGCAATGGAGAGAGCGTCGAGGATGCTGTGGATTAGACTGGCGCACTCGACAAAGTACTTCTCCATGAATGCGCGAAAGCCCGGAAGCTTATCTTCTGGAAGCCAGATATTTGGCTGAGCCTCATCTTTCACGTTGCCAGACTCGAAGGACTCTTTATAATCAGGCGTCTGCCTCTCATTAGCTTAGACCATGGAGAGCGAAGATGAATGCAACTAACCTCCCTCAGCTTGTTCAGCTCATTAATATCATAAACCCCTTGACTAACCTTCTCCACTCCAGGCGCCGAGTATCCACGATGATGACTGCCACCCGGCGGATGCGGAGCCAGCATCTTGGTCTCAAGCGGTAGATCGAAGAACTTCTTTGACCAAGCAAAGCACTCCTCCACCAGCTCCTTCCTCACGCCATGGTTCTTTAGGTAGACAAAGCCCATACTATGGAATGCATCGTCGATCTCCTTGGCGATCTTCTCCTGATCCTCTGCTTTACCGTGCAGGTACGCGCCGAAGTCGACGATAGGTATGCCGCTCATCTCGTCGATGGCAAGGATTAGAAAGTGAGAAGTGGTTGTGACGGAGAAATGAACAGAGAAAGAGGCAGGTGCTGACTCGCGGGTTGCTTCTATTTTGGGTAGATAGGTAGGAACGGCAAGCACGCAGTAGTACAGCGGCGGGGTCAGGTCATCGGCACTGCGGGGTACGTTCAGTTGTCGCGAGATGCAATGAACGAATCAGCGTGCATCAGCGCAATGCGTCTTAATTGTGAGGCGTTTCTCGATACATGCTTCTGCTATAGGATGCATAGAGTGACACTGCGGCGAAGACTGTTGCCAAGCACGTGATGCTTCCTCGAAGCCATCATCAAGAACAGGCCAACACCAACCTTAAAATGCTATGCATACCACTTTTCCCATGCCCTACCCTTCGTCCTAGAATGCTTTGGTGATCCACCCGCCTCATAACCATGCTACCATACCCGATGCCCATTGGTACCACCGCAAGTCCTTTCGTCATCAAGAATCATACACGCCCGCTTCCCATGGAAGTTTACGACTCTCCGAACATGTCTGCCACACCTGCCAATCCGGGGCTGGTGCCTCGGACTATAGTCGGCTGTTGATCCACACTCATGTACTGCTCCATCATGACAGTCCTGGTCTTGGTCTTCGTCGATCTCTGTATTTTGCCTTGCTCGTGAATACTGACACCCTTGATACTACTCATGAGATCTAGTACGATGCTGCGCTGCATACGTTCGTCCGACCTGTTCGCTCCACGGAGCTTTGCAAGACGGCGGTCGACGCGATACTGGTCACCCATGCCGGGTAGAGACAAGATGATCGAGCGCGGTATCTCCTCGTCCAGGTGAATGATGCCGGCGATGAGTGAGGCGAGCTCTTTCTGGCAGTCCACAAAGTATGGCTCATGGAGGGACGTAATGGCCGATTTGAGGATGTCATTGCAGAAGTAGTCCCGAATGGGCGACTTCTCCTTGAACCGTGGGAGCAGGGTGCGCAATACGCGGACCATGGTGACAACGGACCTCGTATCGCGATAACGTATTGTTGAGTTGCAGAAGAGGAGGATAGGCTCGAGGACGGCAGGCGTTGAGAGAATGAAGTCGCACATGGGCGGTGCGTTGGCTTCTTTTCGACTGTGTTCATCGTGACGGGCAAATTCTGTGACCAGGTCAGCTTTTAGTCATCAAACACGATTAGGAGACTCGGTACTAGAACCGATACCCCAACGCAGATAGAAGTCGCGAAAGGAAGACCACCAAGCACGATAAGTAATAGACGACTTACCCTGTCTCGAATCGAGCAGGACAGCGACAAGCGAAACCGCAGCATATGTGAGCTGTCGTAGTATGCTCTCAGTCTTCATCTCGTCCGTCAAGTTGTCGTTCTGCCCCGAATCCGCCACCTGTCGGGCAACCTCGTTCCATTCTCCGGAGATTTTTCGATCCAGCTCTCTGAATAGCCCCTGTATCATGGGTGGCAGGAAATGTGGTCGTAGACGCGCTGGGCAACCTTCAATGAGATGGGTGGATACGGTTAGTAAGACAGATAGATGATGCGCAGTCAGAGCGCCTGCGTGGCCAAACAGGGCTTGACTCAACGGGCCTGGCAGATCTTCTATCCCATAGAAGAAGTCTCGAAATCGCGTTAACGAGTATAGGATGTAGTACGAGCTCTCCCTAATCTGCCTTACAGTGCCTCGTACCGTCGATGCAAAACCCTCAAACGTCGACTTGGAGCCACTAACTCTTGCAAAGAAGTCGTCTCGGCTCTCTGTCGATATGCCCGCTTGCCAGAACCGATCAGTCAGTACTCTCCGAATAACCTGCTGTAGCTCTACTGGCAAGTGTGACCAGTTGGCGTCGATATCGTTGAATGCTTGTGCATGGCTCACGAGCTGGAGAAGGTTTGGGAGCAGCACTGGTATGGCCTCTGCCCAGAGTAGCGCAGCAGTCTCGTACGCAGCAGTGCCATCGCGAAGCTTTTCCGTCGATGCTGCCAGTAATGTCTTAGTAAGTCGTAGTGGCAGTTGTTGAGAACGGTCAAGAATTGAGGCCTGCAACGCCTGGCCATCACTAGGCAACTGTTGGTCAGACCAGTCCTGAATGCCGCGGAAGTTGTTCGCAGACAGAAACTCGGGTAATTGGCCCATTCCCAATACGCCACAGAAGGACTGGAATGAAGAGATGGCTTGGGTGAACTCATCGTTGCGCCAAGCATCCTTGACACGGTTGAGCATCTGTCTCATGCGCTCCTCTTGCGTGGCGCGCTCTAATGTTGTACATCTATGTATGATGATGAAAAGGAAAGCGGAGTACGCCATACGTTGGCGTTCGTCAGTCGTTGGATCATTAATCATCTCATTGACCTTGGCCTCTAGTTGCTCGTAGACGTTCATAAAGTCGTCAGCGAATTTCATCGCTAGTTTCTGCATCTCAAGACTGCATATGCGCTCGAGGTCTTTCACAGCATCGGAGTACTGTGGATAGTTCGTGTCATCGGCTAGCCGTACTGTAAGCATATACTCCAAGAAGGTAAGAGCGAATCCTGGGCGGTCGCCAAGGGCTTTTGTTGAGAGAGTTGCCATCAAAGATATTATCTTTCTTGCAACTTCAGGATCTTCGAAATGCGCTTGCAGGATTTGCCTGCCCCACTGCTCGAGCGAGTCTTCCAGGGTATTCCGCGTCCGCTCATCATCTTGCGCGTTCTCGCCTTGCCCTTGCTGCCACTTCATGTACCCCTTGAGTGCAGCTTCGATGACAGTGACCTGCGCATCGACCTGAAGGACTTGTGGAGAGTTCTTTGTGAAGTTTTGGCGCTGGAAAGCAGGCTGATCATGGTACAGGTTCTGGAGCATGTTCGTCGCCTGAGCAAGGATATGCGCCATTGCTTCTACTGGTGTCTTGCGAACCAGGACTTCGATCACGTCTGCGCAGAAGCGCCGATAGTTGCCTAGAAAAGCATGACGTTCTGGTACTGTATCAATGTCTTCGTTGAGAAATTGTAACGTAACGTCTTCGGTATCTTCGGGTAACGATTCGTATCGAATGAGTCGGGCGCAGCACGTCTCAAGTAGCCCGCCAACCATGGAGTTGACGACATCAGAGTCTCGCACGATGCTAGATCGTAACAGCTTGGTCCAACAATGGAGAACAGGTATGGAGACGACGAGACTCGGGTTGCGCATGATATCGTATAGGAAACCGAATATGCCGGTTAGGTCGCTGCCATCTGGTATCGATTGGGGCTTTTGCTCGATGAATAGTCCGAGGCTGTTGGCCAACTGTCATCATTAGCACGGTGTGACAAGCCTGAAGGATAAGAAAGGGCCTTACTTCTGAGAGTCTCTTGCAGAGCATGTATTTCTGATCATCTATGTCATTCACATCCATATCCGTGAGCGTCCAGTTGTATACTTCTCGCAGGAGTGAAACACTGCCAGGTGTGAACATGGGGCATACAAGCTCCACAAACTCGTCGTCGTGCAGGTGGGTTCGGTTGTAGATCGCTTGGAGGGTCTCGACGGCGGCCTGTTCGTGTTAGCAGCTGTCCATGTGAGTGGATGTAAAGAGTCGACCTACAATCTGCATCTCTACGGCAGGGGTAGCCAGCGCCTTGCAGACGGCCTCGATGACCTGTGTTGCAGCGATAGCCTTGGGCATGATCCACGGCATGGCCGCCTTGAGGGCCTGCATAGACTTGATAGCGCTTGTCTTAACAGCTTCCTGGTTCTGGTAGTCCTGCCCCAAGCACCATCCCAAGTTGTCGCATAGTCTCTTCAGCCATCCTTCGTCTCCACACCGCACATCCAGACTCTTCTCGCGTGTAGGAAGCTGGTCTTGTATGACGGCAAGCGGTGTGAAAATCTCGACGCAGGCGCGACCCAGGTCGCTACCTCGAAGGCCTGCCGTAGGGTCTTCGCGATTAAAGACTTCCTCAGAAAGCGTTTCCAGGACGTATAGCACGACAGCCTGGTGGTGCAAAGAACTTGTCCAGAGCGAGACCAACAGTTCGTCCATATTCAGCCACTCGGCGCCCCAACTGCGCTTCGCAATTTCCGTCCATAGCTGCGCGACCTTGTTCCTGAGGAATGCCGCATCGTCTTCGGACACGTTTTGGGCGAGCTCGATCGCATAGCCTCGTAACGCTGTGCCTTGGTCCTCGGTGAAGTCTTCCCAGCTGTATTTTATCGAGTGCTCCAGCATAGTGAGGCCATAGTAGCGGAGGGGCGCGGGTTGCGAGCGGTCGAGTGCGAGCGTGTGACCATGTGAGGGCGCTTCCGGGTGCCGTTTCGCTTGCTCGAGGTATTCGGTTGCCTGTCGGCGGGTATCATTCGTGGACGAGGTTGCGTATATGGCCTGCAGCGCTTCTAATATCTGTGAGAGGTCTGAGTCTCCGCTGCCGTTGGACTGTCGGTGTTGCGCTCCACCGCCGCCATTCGTTTGCGGGGCCTGGTCTGCCCCAACGTTCATCGTGCAGAGGGCGTCTCTAGCCTCGGTATATAAAGACGTGAGGTCAGGTGAGTCTAGCGCGAACTGCACGGGGATATTGTAGCAATGTCGTGTGCGTGGTGTTCTGGATTTCGAAGATTCGGGCGGAAGTTGCTGAAAGCGGAAGACGTAGAGGGCAAGGATCGTGGGTAAGGAAGCTTTGGCGCCCGGTGTCTGGGACAGACCAGAGAAGATGGCGGTGTAGCGAGTAAGCCCAGATTCATTGACTCACAGGCCGGGACGTGGTACGCTTTATTTCGAGGGTCCAGCAAGGCAGTCGAGGCCTCTGTTCACGTCGCACGTTCCACAGACGCGTTTTGCAGGCTGCAGTCCCAAAGGCACGTCACGTCGACGCGATGTCAGCTGCTTTGCCGCCAGAACTAGGCTCGTCGCTTCCGAACTAGTCTATATCCAATATATGTATCGCTATATACAAATCATAAGTCTATCGTAAATGCTCCCCGAACACCTTGACAAGTATAAAAAGTCGCCCAACGCTCATGTTTGCCCAAATGAATCATATGCACAAGAACTGCTGACTGCGTGACCTGAGCATCGCATGATATTGCATCACCGTGCATCGATTGGTCAAACCCCACCACACCAAACCCCGACATCATCAACTTTGCGACATTACATGACAGCGCAAGTCTGCTTTTGGCACTGCTGGAGATATCCCTCGTCTTCTTCCGTGCCTAACGCGCTTCCCGCCTTTCGCACGACGCCTTTGACAGTCATGACCTGGTCACCTTCCGCGTGCCACCACCGCAGCGTCTGCTGCAGCGCGCCATCGGTCTCCTCGGATGTGATGGTCCACTTGCCACCGCTAACCTCGACATTGGTTTGTCCTGACGGAAAGTGGAACTCGGGCAGGTAGCAGACAGTAGGGAAGTCTTCCGATGTCGAGCTTGGCGCAGAAAGGGCAAGCTTGAATGTGCAGTTCTTGAGGTCGAACCCGTACGACGAAATGTCTCCATGGACGGCAACGGGGGTGGGGCGGATGAAGGCCTCTGCTGCTCGCAGACCCCGAACGTCGTCGTCATCTTTCTTTGAGCTCATTCGTTCTGCGGTGATGGTCTTCTGCAGGTTGGAAGGGTTAATGCTAAGGGTGTCGGTCGACTGTGCTCTCGAGAACGTGGGCGAATTTTTGTCTAGCGACGCACGGGAGTCGGCTGGCGAGAAGGGGCCTGCAGGAACCGCCTTGTCGTCTACTGAGTAGATGGAGAGATCCTCTCCGTTCCAAAGGTCGCCCCAGTAATGGCAGTTCTGGTCTTTGTCAGCCGTGTCCAATTCTAGACAGAATGGAAACATACATTTGCTACATAGGTCCACAGGGCGAAGCCGTTAGCTTTACTGTCTTCAAGCGCGAAGTGATTGGCATCCAAGGCAGCTATCTGGCTGCTGTAGTTACCTGTCTTGTACGCATACTTGTCGTCCATATCGTATGGGATACCGATCTCGGTGAAGATACAGGGGTGAACACCCGTGTACTCTGTACCTTCGTCTCGGATCGCCTTGAGCTGGTGGGAGAAGCAGTTTCTGATGGCATTCTCGCCAATCTTTATGGCGAACGCTGGCGTGAGATACTTTCCTCGCAACACACCGAATACGTCGACATTCCATACGCGGTTCCTATGTGACATTAGACGAGATGAGATAAGAATCAGTATTCTGGAACATACCACTTCTTTGTGATCAGAGTGATGCCATCGTAGAAATGGGGCGAGAAGATCATGTTGGGATCATCGTCTTCTGTGCCCTTGACCTTTGGCGGTATCTCCAACACTGGCGGCTGGAAGAACATCAAAGAATCCGGGAATATGGACTTGACCATCTTGCTGTACGCCCGGTAGTGCGGCAGCCAGTAGTGGTTTGTGAAGTACTCGTAGTCAATCTTGGCCCCATTTTTGGGATCAATTCCGAAGTAGTCCTTCTTCAAGACCGTGTCAGTCGCTGGGTCCCAGACACCGTGTTGCGCCCACAAGCATTCGCCCAACTTCCACCCTGGGTCGCGTTTCCAGCCGTATTTGGTGTCGTCGTAATCTTTCGATAGCCATGCCATAGTGCCCTCGGGATCCACTAATGCCGAGCCACTCTTGTATGGTCCCAGCCCGCCAAATTCCCAAGTCGATATCTCGCAAGCTCTACCCGATCCGGTAAGTATCGCCTGCCAAGCCGTCGGCGAGGTGCCCTTCTGGAGTTTTTGTTCGCTCGGGATCTGGGTAATATCTTGGTAGCTGATGAGGCCTCTGTTGGGCTCATTCATGCTTTCCCACCCAACGATCGGGTCGTGCCACAGGTCGCCTGCTTGGTGTATCCGCTTCGCTAGATGCTCGCATGCCCCGATGTAGTGATCTTGAAGATAGTCCTGGATATTCTTTCCGTCTATGATGGCCTTGGGCGCGAAGTCCCTACCACCAAAGAACAGTGTCCACATGACCTGACATACTAATCGTGTGTAGTTGGTGGTCCAGATCATCTTAGGGAAAGTGGCAGGGTCGGGGTATGTGTTGTGCACGAGGGCGGCTTCGGTGACGGCGAAGTTCTCGGGGTCCAGCCCGCAAGCATAGAGAGTCCACATGGGCGCGCCAGAACCTCCAGAGAATCGTGACCACTATGTGATGCATTAGAGAAGGAGTAAATGAATCTATTGGAATGCTACCTACGACATCCTGGTGAGGATCCATGAAGATGTAGAACCCATATTCTTTCGCCTTTCGTAGGAGAGCGATGGTGTGGTCTATCCACTCCTCGTCGTACTTGCCCGGGCCCGCGTGCTCTATGGCTTCCCACGTGAAGACATAGCGGATGGTGTTGTAACCCCAACTACGTAATCGCGAGAAGTGTGTCGCGGAGTCTTCTAGCGAAAAGGGTCGGTTGACAAAGGAGACATTGTCGCCGTCGAAGAAGTTGTCTGGAATGTGTGACGGCTGATCTGGCTTCGCAGGAAACTTGGCGTCGGCTGCACAGTTGATACCGTGCAGGGTGACTTCGCGGTTCTGGGGGTCTCGGAATATGCGTCCGTCGATACGCAGCCGAATGGGAGACATTACTGGTGGCAGGCGTGTGGAGGGTTACGAGGAGAGTGAATGGGAGGAACAGGAAAAGGTGCGCAAGGCGGGTGCGAAGAGGAGCTATGAGGTATGCGCCTGTCTAGTCCTGATGGCGTAGCGGCGGCGTTCACGGGCATGCATCTGGGCATGTCGTAATCCATGCCTGCCCGCATTAGCGTTCTGGGGGTCGCGGGGGTCAGTGCGTCCCGGCTATCATGCGGCTGGTCGCTGAGGACAAGTTGCAATTGTTCGACAGTGAAAGGCCAGATAAAGACACGACCCGCTCTTTCCATGAACTGACCGTCGCACCTGCCGTTGCTTCTCTGCGCGGACTATACTCCTGCTTGCTCAACATCCAACCTACCGTCACTCATTCATAGCACGCTCAACCGCATCCCGCCATGATACTCCGACTATCCTCTCTTGCCCTCGGGCTCCTCCCGCTCGCCAGCGCACTCTCCGCCTCGGACATACCCACGGATACTCCCGTGTCGCAGCTTATCAAGGACGCCAGCGTCCAACTCGCGACCGGCAACACCCAAGACGCCCTTCTCTACTTCGACATCGCCATCACCCGCGACCCGCGCAACTACCTCACCTACTTCAGGCGCGGCGCCGCTTACCTGCAAATCGGCCGAACGGCGCAGGCCCAACATGACTTCGACAAGGTGCTGGAACTGAAGCCTGGCTTCGAGGGCGCATTAGTGCAGAGGGCCAAGATCAGAGCCAGAAAGGCCGACTGGGCGGCAGCGCGCAAAGACTACGAGGCTGCCGGCAAGACCGATGCCATCGCGGAGCTGGAAGAAGCGCAAGGCGCTGCCATCATGGCGCAGGAGGCGGCAGAGAAGCGCGACTGGGACGCGTGTATCTCGAATGCTGGAACTGCCATCTTAGTCGCGGGAGGAGCATACGACATCCGCAAGACAAGAGCAAGGTGTCGCTTCGAGAAAGGCGAGGTCGCCGAGGGCATCAGCGACCTGCAGCATCTCCTCCAGATCAACAAGGGCGATATCCAACCCCATCTCCAGAGCTCCGCCATGGCCTTCTACTCCTTGGGCGAAACCGACAAGGGGCTCAAGCACGTCGCACAATGTCTTCAGTCAGACCCAGACTCGAAGGTCTGCATGAAGCTACGGAGGAGAGAAAAGAACCTCGACAAGGACATTCAAAAGGTGCGCAAGTTCTTCGAGAAGCGCCAGTTCGCCACCGCCTCGAAACTCCTCATCGACCGCGGCGAAGAGGACCCGGGCCTGTTGAAAGAGGTCAAGCAAGACTTCAAGGACTACACCGAACAAGGCTACATCTACGCCAACTCACCCCAAGGTCTCTACCAAACCCTCGTGGAGATGACCTGCGAAGCATACGTCGAGATGAACAACCTAAAGAAGGGCACACCATACTGTACCGAAGCCCTACAACTCAACCCCGACTCGTTACACGCCCTCCTTCACAAGGCTCAATTCCAGCTTGATGCCGACGAATTCGAAGACTGCGTCCGGACCCTAGAGCACGCGAAAGAGCACCACCAGAACCAGAAGCTCGACGAGTTACACCACAAAGCGCAGACACTGCTCAAGCGCTCGAAGACAAAGGATTACTACAAGGTGCTCGGCGTAACGCGCGATGCAGACGAGCGCGAGATCAAGAAGGCATACCGCAAGCTGACCAAGATGTACCACCCCGACAAGGCCTCGGCCAACAACATGACACCCGAGGATGCGCAGAAGAAGATGTCCCAAGTCAACGAAGCCTACGAAGTCCTCTCCGACCCCGAGCTCAAGGAACGTTTCGACCGCGGTGACGACCCCAACAGCAACGAGCAGCAACAAGGCAATCCCTTCCAAGGCTCACCCTTCGGCGGTCAGCAGTTCATGTTCAGACAAGGTGGAGGAGGCGGCTTCCCGGGTGGCGGCGGTAGCTTCAAGTTCCAGCAGGGCGGCGGCGGTTTCCCAGGTGGTTTCCCCGGTGGATTTGGCTTCTAGACTATTGCTATTGCTTACTTATATGACTTGGAGTTTGGGAGCATGCACAGTGGATCAATCACATGGGTAGAACAGTCTGGCGTTTTCCACTGTATGATATCGTTGCTTCGGCTGTATTGAGAAATGAATTATGGTAGCTAGTAAGTGAGAAGATCACTCTTTCCTGCTAGCCTGCAATCCTTCTTGTCTTTGAACCGTTTCGAGTAAATTTTCCGTCTCTTCGTATTTGTCCTGATGAAACTACATCCAGAGATGTTGTCCCCTATGGATTTGATTGGTTATTCAAAGTAAGAATCAGAACTGGACGCGGAGCTCTGCTCCAGCGTTGTATCACCTCGCTTCCGCTTTGCACCCTGAGACGCCGACGTTGACTCTTTCGCCTTCTTTGCAGCGTCATTTCCGCAACGGTATTTTCCCGGCACGATCGATCCAAACTTGTTCTTGACCATCGGCCGCCTCTTAAGTAACGCAGGAATTAGATCGTTGACAAACTCCACGCACGTCTGCTCGGTAATATCGTCTGGTTTCTGGTCTAGAGACGCACCGAGGGCCCAAATGTCTACCATGAGACGGCGAACGGGTGAGTTGGTAGCGGTTCCAGCATAGAGGATCTTGATGGCCGACGTGTCTGGCAATTCAGAAAATTCTTTGTATCGTCGGATGAACGTCTCAGCGATGACATCTTGGAAGACTGTATCCATGATGTGTTCTCCAAGGATATAGAGGTGCGCTAATTGGTCTGATGGGGAGACATCGTACAGCCGTCTGATTTGCCTTGCATACAACCACTGGCAATAATACTCGAAAGTTTGCGGATCTGTAGTGCTCATATCAATGGGCTTGGTGGAATCAGTGCGCCACTCTGACTTCATGGCGTTCTCGAAAAACTTGGAGCTTCTGGTGAGGACAGCAACGTGGATATGGAAAAGCTTGTCGCTGACTTGAATGGATACGACGTCTCCAATCAGACTAGGTAAGGTGATGTGTCAGTAAGTGTTGTTTGAACCACATTCAAGGAAAACGCTGAACACCCTAGAGCCTACGTTGACGTTGGGTCGCCTACTTTGTAGGTTTCTAAATCAATGTAGGCTGTAGACCTGTTCAGTTTTCATTTCATCGGATGCACTTACTCAGGCTTTTCATAGATTCTGGTGTCATCTACCAGTATGAGCCGTTGCACAGCGGAGGCCATTTCGTTTAGTAGGAGCGAGCGGTAGAGAAGTGGAGAGTGGCCGGTGATTCAATACCCAGGTGCAGCGGGCGCACAGTCGGAAATGAAGTCCTGCGTTATATCAAGAAGGAAGCGCGGCTGTGACGTAAGAAGAATAGACAGTGCACGAGTGGGAGGAGGAGATTACGCCTTCACTGCCGTTCAATTTGCACCTTGGCACCACATTTACCCTGAAGGTATTCACACTACTTTTGGTTGCCTTTTAGTAGGCCACAGGACTATGTATACTTTATATTACATCATCACTTGTAGCGTGTTCTGGATGCAAAGGATGTAGTCTCCTACATACCCCAGAATGCATCAAGCACGTCCACCTCCTCCTGGACTGAAGGGTCAGTCTTATTGGAAAGCTCATCCTCGCTGGGTGATCCATCCTCGCTGGAGAACTCATCTTCGCTGGAAGATTCTTCCTCGCTGGAGAGCTCCATCTCGCTAGAAGGCTCGTCCTTGATGAAGGGCTCATCTATCATAGAAGGCTCTTCCTTGATGTGAGTTTCATCCTCAACGTAAGGCTCGTTCTTAACGAAAGGTTCCTCCTCATAGGAAGGCTCATCCTTGATGGAAGGCTCAGAGATCGCCTCGTCGCCCCTGTCTTCCGGTATCTCGCTCTTGATCACGACACCCTTGTTGTAATAGGAACTTCGTTGCGAGATCCATGGCCTAGCTTGAGAAGCATCCGGTAGTCCCCGTCTGTCTAGCAGTACCGGTAAGAGGTCATCCAGAAAAGGTTTGTTCTCTGGCGCTCGAAGTCTCGTCTTCGTTACCCAAGAGGAGTCCATGTTGAAAGCCCACAGATCCACCAGGAGACGTATCACCGGGGCTTTCCTCGGAGCGCCCTTGTAGATGATTCCGATAGCTTGCAGATCAGGTACTTTGTAGCGCAGGGGCTTTTGACTCAGTCGCGCAGTGATATGGCGGTAGATTATGGCGTCGACGACATCGTTCTGGAATGTGCGGTCGATCAACTTTTCTCCCAAGACGTACATCCGAGCAAGGTAACTGAATCCATCGTGATGGTCTAGTTTCGCGTCAAGGACTCGAGTATATAGCCATTGACAGTATATTTCGAAATCATGAGGCTTTTCGTCGGACAGATCGATGAACCTGCAGAGGTACACGTACGGAGTCAGTAAATGTCTCATATGTATGTATTTCGTAAAGCGATATCTTACCTGTGAGATAACATCGACTCGTGACTAATGGCTTTTCTGAAGTATTCGGAGCTGCTGCTGATGAGATCCTTGTGTACGTCGACGATTTGGAGGCCGACTTTGACTGCGATAGTCTCGCCCGAGACACTAAAGACGTTAGATGCCTGTATTTTGAGAAGAAACAGGCGTCGATTCACTTCGGTAGCTGGATGGTAAATGCGGCTGATTCACATGAGTCTGGGGAAGCCATCTTGCTGTAGGCTTCCCGCTCCTTGTTAGTAGGCAACAGCAATGAAGTGGTTAGTCAAGCAGGACAGTGGTTTGCAAGGTATCGGTTGGAAAGTGAACCCAAATTGCGACAGAACAGGCATAGAGCACGGACGCTGCAGCCTAAGCCGATCCTCAACGGTGCGTAGTGAAAGTGAGTGTGAATTCGTCTGAAAGAGGAAAGCGCGCCGTTCTCTTATATTACCCATGGATTCTTTCGCCCTCGGCACCATATAAGTTCAGTATCCCGCCCTCTTCCATCCCGAGGTCGACACGCTTTTTCAGCCCTCTCAATATCTCGACCCTTTAGGATGTCCGTTTCAGTCTCGCCACCGTCTCCACTTCTGCGCCTTCCTCGCGAACTGCGCGATCAAACATACACTTACACCTTCGAAGAATCGGAGCCCTTTTTAAAAAATCGAGCTGCAATCACGACATCAAGCAAAATTGCGCTCTTCCACGACCTCCCAGCCTTGTGTCAAGCCAACCGCCAACTATTCAACGAAGCCACGCCGATTTTCCTTGCTCGGAACCTGTTTTCATGGAACACTCGAGAGTCACAGCAGCTCTTGGACCTGTATTCTCACCTTCCTGAAGATGCAGCATCCAAGCACGTCAAGCATATCTCAATTTGCAACTGGACCGAGCAAGGCACTGCCACGCACCTGGAACTGATCTCCAAGTTCGTTCAGCTCGAATCCATCAACATCATTTTCAGTTTCCCCAGCATTGAAGATGGCGTGCGCATGGAGAGGTTCGATTACACCAACGAGCAAGAGTGTTATTTGGAAACAGGCTTGCACTACGATCTTCCCGTAGGACGCAGCCTCGAGGAAGAGAAGGCGAGTCTTGCGCAAGACGTGGAGGCGTTTGTCGCAAAGTATGGTCTCGATCGCATCATCGATATGCCCAAGCTCGACGGCATGCAGTTCCAATTCGCAACGAATCAGGGTGAAGAGGATGCTTTTGGCGGCAACCAAGAGTATAGACATCGCTTGTGCAACCCGTTGTGGAGGTGGGCGACGAAAAAGATGGAGGAGAAATGGGGAGCTGACAAGTTTTTCGTCACGACTACCATGCCGGAGGACTATCATCATGTGAACAGGCCGTATGTCGGCTGGTGAGCTTACTTGGACCCCAAGGTCCGGGAAACTAATCGCACTCCGCGTCGTAATAGTATCGGATATCTCGCCACTCTTCACGAAATTAAACTTCTTGCAGCTGCTTGTCACACCCGTCTGAGTTGGGCTCGACGGCTGCACTTCACTCGGCGCCTTCGAGGACCTATGCATCTGAAAATAAAGTGGCGATTGCTAGGGTCAAATCCTGACAACAGTGTATGATAGTAATCTTTGAGTTATTGACAGCGGCCTGCTCCAAGACCTATCATGAGCGCTCATAGAAGCCCTGGCCCTGAGATCGAGGTATCTTCCCGACTATAAAGTATCTATAGACCTCTCCGGCGTTGTTGTAATAATAGCTCTTAGTCGGAAGTGTCCATTAACTCATCCTTCCAATTCTCAGTCTCTTTCCCATTGTTCTGTTCTGCCCTCAAACGGTACTGTTCAGGAGCCACCACCCACGGACTAAGTTTCCGATTGATAGAGTGTTTCGTACAAGAACGAATGAAGCCTCTCACCAAGTCATCCACGAACTCCACGCTGGTTTCCTCTACAAGACTTCCCGTAATATTCCAGTCTTCATCGCAACCGTATACAAACATATCAACCATAAGTCGGCGTGCTGGAGAGCTTGCACTACTGGTACCCGAATAGATGATGTTGATAGCGCTTTCTGGAGGAAAGGAGTCCCCTTCTACTGCATGGTCGATCATAGCGGAAAGAACAGCGTTCTGGAAGGTCTCGTCAACGAGTCTTCCACCTAAAACGTACAAACGAGCAAGTTGGATGTGTCTGCCCACAAGAGGCCGAGTGACAACGACCTTTCTGCTGTAAAGCCAGTTGACATAAGATTCAAAATCTTCTGGTTCTTCGTCCGCCAGGTCAATTTGTTTCTTTGCGTTGGCGCGCCATCTTCGCTTCATGGCGTTTTTGAAGAAATCAGATGTCGCCGTCAGTGTACCGATGTGGACGTGGAACTTCTTTCTGCCCACTTTGATAGGGATTGGCGCGCCTGAGACACTAGAAGAAGTCAGTAGGGCCCAATTCATTACAAGTAATAGTTGCTTACTCTGGAGATGGCGCAGTTGTGTCGTCGTTAACATGGCTCCGGGTTTTCGCGCGTAGTGACATAATGTACACAGGCGAAGTATGGTTGAATAGCTTGACAAGGTCGGTTTTATGGTGATGATAGTGGGGTTGAGAGTGTGGAGCGGGACTTCCGGGTCGTTAATAAGGAGCTTCCACACAGAGGGTGAATCTCAGGGTAGCATTTTCTGACAAAGTGACAACCTGAGCGCGGCGCTTGCCCAAAGAGAATACTGCGTGAAATGAAAAATCAAGTCCCCGAATGTCTTGGTCTCAATACCATTGAAAACTACGAAACTCCCCCTGTTTGGTTACATGTGCTTCCACAGATCGTCTTCACTTTTCGGTGTGAATTACAAACGAGATTTCGGGTTTTCGCTGTACCTCATAGTGACCAACAGCGCTCCGAAAGAGACTGCAATCAGTGTAATTCTTACTATTACAGAGAAGGTAAATACAATGCTGACATGGCTAATGGTACACAACATACCAAAGGCGTCCACGGGTATCAAGAAATCAATCAGTCTGCCTCTCCGAAGTCGCTATGTCCCGTTTCGGCTGCGTGCTGCATCGCGCCCCGTTCTCCTGCCCCTTTCCAACCGCATGTGTTGCACTTGAGATCAAATTTCTGTGTATCGGTGTAATAGTGGGCTTTCTTCAGCTGCCCGCAGAGTTCCCTCGCAGCTTCAAGAATCACATCGTCCGCCGCATCGAATATCTTAACATCTTGCGAAGGATCTTGCGTGGACGCACCCTGGGGCACGAAGGCGATCGTATCGTAATGGATACCAGAATACACCACGATACAGCGCCGCGGTCTGCCCTCGTTGAATCGGTCCACCCGGTTGTCCTGAACATTGACGCTGGCGATCTCAATGTCAAACTCTTGGGAAAGGATGCTGAGTTCGATGCCACCACCCCACGAGTCGGCGTATGATATCCATTTGCAGTACTCATCTGGTGAGCGTTGTAGGATCGCCTCGTTGTACTGTTCCGGGTCTCTTTGAATAGCTTGCGCAACCATCGATCGAAGCTCGGTCATGGAATCGAGAGAATCGGTCAGAACAGCGCTACCAACAGCTCGAAACATGCAGGAGTTGTCGTCAGGCATAACTCGAAGGACCATGGTGCCACCGCGGTCAGGCACGGGAACTTCGGGCGTTTCCTTGAGCGCCGAGTTCTGCTTCCGTTGAAGCGACAGCGGCGCCGCCTGTGATGTGTTTGCCTGTAGTTCTTGCTCCTGCTTCCGTTCACTCGGGTCGCCCGTGGCTTGTGCAATGACTATGATGGATGCGCCGTTCAGCTTGAGATCGATATCCTTCAGCAACGTCGACATGCCGTATAGGGAAGGGTCGAGCGGTTGAGGCGGGTGGTTCCATTTCAGCTCGAAGAGTGGTAGTTCTGTCTTCTCGCTGATAGAGGAGAGAAGGTCCGAGACGGCGGCGTTGTCGTCGAGTGATAGTGTGTGAGTGCCATTCGGCGCGCGTAACCGGATGCGAATCGGCATGGTTTGATGGGTCGGCTGGAGAGATGGAGGGATATACGTGTACGGAGGGATACAGGTGAGGGAGCTTCGAAGGCGTGGCGCGTGATGACAGTTGACTGGTGGGGCGACTTAGCGGTGGAGAGCTGCGCTGGTATTAGGGAAGCTGCGATGAGTGAGTCGGTATGAAGAGAGGTAAATCTTCACGAATGCGCAAATATGAGGAGAGCTTTGTTAGGAAGAAAGGATCGTTTGTCAGCTACAGGAGAACGCTACAAAGACGACAGTTTGCACGGATCGGGTGACATGGCTGGCGTACGTGAAGGTTCCCGAATCATGGAGGAGGCCGGCCGTCTCCGGGGATCGGCGAATCTTACCTCCGTCCGGCGTCGCGACTTCCAGCATCCAGGACGCGACACGCCAACACCTAGCGCAAGAAGGATACCGGAACACGACAGCATCGAGTCGACTATCGCAAACATGGCGACCGGACGCGCCCCAAGCTCGACACCGGTGCCCACGACCGAGACCGCTGAGTCCGCCGGCGCAACGTCCACCGTCACGGCGCCAGAATGGGAGGCCATGGCCAACCTCCTCAAGAATGTATACGACTACAGGATCGACGAGTAAGTTTCGACTTTATATGCGCCGTACTGCTCCCAGCTGATCAAAGTGCAGTGGAACATACGACCCTACCAAGCTCTTCCAGCGCAAAGTGAACAAGCGCGCCGTGCCCGACTACTACGATATCATCAAGGAGCCCATGGCCCTGAGTACGATAAAGGCCAAGATTGCGCAGCGAGAATACAAGAACTTTTCCGAGTTCGTACGCGACCTGGCGCTCATTCCCCACAATGCGCAGGTGTACAACAGGCAGGACTCGCAAGCATATGTCGATGCGCTTGAAGTAAAGAAGGTCATCGAACGCGAGCTGAAGAGGCTAGTCGACGATAAGATCGTTCCTGAGACAGTTGCTACCCTGCCGTTCTTGGGAGAGATTCCCGAACAAGACCCGCTGTTACCAGAGGAGGAAGAAGAGGAAGAGGAAGATGACGACGAAGAAGAGCTCGAAGTCGACGAGGAAGAGGATGAAGACGAAGAAGATGAAGGCAAGCGCAAGAGGCGCCGCGGACCGCGATCCACAGCAGCTATCACCAAGCGCGAAGGCGGTTCAAGAGCCGCAAAGGAAGACGCCAAGGCCGACGATCCAGAATCGCGGAAGAAGCGCGGACGACCGCCGCGGGTCGACACTCCTATGGAAGCGCGAATCAAGACCATTATGAAAGCAATCAGGAAACCGCGGAACCAACTCAACAAGCTCATGGTGAGCGCATTCGAGCGCGTCCCGGACAAGACGGTCATGCCCGAGTATCACTCTGAGATCAAGAATCCAATGGCCATGGACATTCTCAAGCGCAAGCTCAAGCGAAAGAAGTACAACTCCGTCGATCACTTCATGGTCGATGTAGAGCTCATGTTCGAAAACGCAAAGCAGTACAACGAAGAAGATAGCCAGATCTACAAGGACGCCGTTCATCTCCAAAAGGAGTCGCGCAAGGTTGCAAAGGCCGAGAAGGAGAAGCCGGATACCGAATACGTCATGGAAGAAGGCCGTATTCCTATGCCCAGCGGCATCGTTCACAACGGCGAGCTGTGGAAGGTCGGGGATTGGGTGCACATTCAGAACGCGAACGATCTCACAAAGCCGATTGTTGCCCAGATCTACCGCACTTGGCAGGACGCGAATGGTGGACAATGGGTGAATGCCTGCTGGTACTACCGCCCGGAGCAGACCGTGCACCGTTTTGACCGACACTTTTTCGAGAACGAGGTTGTCAAGACTGGCCAATATCGAGATCACCGCATCGACGAGGTCGTGGACCGATGTTTCGTTATGTTCATCACCCGTTACAACAAGGGCCGTCCCCGCGACTTTCCTTCTGATAAAGAGATCTATGTCTGCGAGGCTCGATACAACGAAGAGAACCACAAGCTCAACAAGATCAAGACATGGGCCAGTTGCTTACCCGACGAAGTGCGAGACAAGGACTACGTAATGGATCTCTTCGATGCGCCTCGAAAGTTGAAGAAGGTGCCCAGTCCGATCGCGTACCTGCTCAAGGACGAGCAAAAGGAGGACGACGATCTTCCAAAGCCAGAGTGGGGAGCTGAGAATGCTCCCCCAAAGATTGGCGCCGTTCATCGTCGTCCGCGTGACCCCAAGGTAAGTGAAAACTGCTCTAGGCCACCATGAGACCCAAAGCTAACAGTTCTTGTAGGATTCACCACCTCCCGAGCCCACCCCACCGCCGCCTCCGACACCTCCACCAGCACCCGCTATGCCTACTCCAAGCCTACCCACGGCTTCGTCACATGGCTACGACTCCTCGAGGAACTATCCGATTGCGCAAGCGCCGACTCTGACGCCAATGCCTGCCCCTACACCGCAACAGCACCATGTCGCGCCAGCGTACACACCGACCCATGCGACACATTACCATACGCATTCTCAGTCGCCCGCCCCTCATATGCACCCGCAAGCACCGCAAGCACCTGCCTATCAACCTATCACACCACATGTGCCCTTTACACCTCAGCCAGCTGCGCCCATGCAAGGCTTCCAGACACCGCGGGCCGCGCCAGGCTACCAACAACCGTATCCACAGCAACTGCCGCTTAACTACAAGGCCCCGCAGCCTGTGGAGGTCTACGTCATGGCCGACCATGCAAATGCCAGTATACCGCTTGAGATCCGCGAGCAGTTCCAGCGTGACGAGAAGGGTCGTATCTTGTTCTTCACCGCGCCGCCGCTCAACGTGGAACAGCCGCTGACTAAGGACGGGCGCGCATTGGGACACTCGGCTAGTTATCTTGCTGCCAAGGCAAAGAAGGAAGCTCTGAAGGCTTCAAAGCGTAAAGCTGGCGAGGCCAATGTTGATGAGCGTGATCAGGCAGCGAAAAAAGCCAAGGCTGACGAGGAGGAAAAGTTCAAGAAAGCTGTCTCGGAACTCGGTACGAAAGCACTAAAGGCATTGGAGGACCAGCTCGCCATTGCTACAAAGGCGGACTTGGAGGGTCTTTTCAACGGCCAGACTGAAGAAGGCATCTCCGCGGTTCTGGATCAGCTCACCACCGCGCAGAAGATGGCTGTGCAGCGCGAATTGGAGCGTGAGATTCACATCAAGGAGCGCGAGGAAAGTAGGATGACAGCAGTCACCGGTATGACGGCGAGATTGGAGGAGAAGTACTAAGGTACTGTGTACGATCCATTGTATTTGTGATATCCAGTCTAAGGTTACAAAGAGACCACGGCGTTTTGATGCTTGATAGTGGTTTCGGCTCCACACGAGTCTATTCTGAGTATGCTTTGCTAGACTCAATTGGAACTTTTTTCTGTCTGAGCCATCACCACCTGGACACCTGTGAGCCCTCACAGCTCCCGTCCGTGTAATTTCTTCACTCACTTCCGTAATAACACAAGGGCCTGAATCTTTGAAGAGCGCATTGCTTTCATAATGAGGCTCGACTGATTGAGACACCTCGGGAATTTCGAGTGCTTCATTGTAGCACTCAAAACGGACACACTAATGAAGCCGGTATTCTACCTCCTTGAGTCTGGATACCTTGCTTACCCATGGCGCATCATCTCTCTCAATACATGCTCGTTCTGGCAAGCCCGATATCGTCTCGACCTCATGCCCGACGTCGCTGCTTGAACAGCCCGAGAGTCATCTAGACTAAAACCCCCAGCGGTCATCAAACACCTCAGTTTCGTAAACCGCCCATAGATCGGTGCGCTCGAGATACTCTTTTCCGTGATCTCTTACCTTCTCAAGCAAGAAACGACATTTGCCATATCCGTGCAATGTCGCAATCGAAATTGCCGAGTGTCCGTTCCTCCCAACAACTCTGAGGTCCGCGCCATGACTGAGCAGGAATTTAACATCTTTTGCGTAACCATCATTTACGGCCTGCCACAGAATGTTGTTGCCTTCCTTTGTGATACTGTCAATAGATGCACCTTTTTCGATGAGAATGTGTGCAAGGTCGTATCGCCGTCTCTTGAGGGCATGCTGAAGTGGGGTCTTGTCCAAGAAGACTTTGTTTGGTTCCGCGATGCCGTCTTCAAGTAGCATACTCCAGGTCTTGATCCCACCTCTCCGGTATAGGGTTTCGATAGATTGAAAGCCGAGGTTGTAATGCTTTTGGGTTCCTTTCTTGACGCGCGCCACAATCCCAGGTTTGTTTACCTCCAAGACGCGGTACAATAAAGTGGCGTTGTCGTACTTGAAGGCATCAGTGACAAGCCAATCGCCCAGTTCGATGGGCGCGTATGTGTTGAAGAAGTTGTTCTCGTCACGGAAGTCGAGCAACATGTTCCCTGCGACGTTCTTATGCAGACGTATCGCTGTACATAACGCTTTGCTGATCTTCTCGGTAGCATTACGCTTGTCCTTCCATGAGGCGGATTCGCTCTTCCCCTTGACGTTGTCCACGAGATACTTGAGAATTTTTGCAAGCATAGCATGCTGGTTCGCTGCGATGGCTGCTTTGAGCGCACTTGGCAAAAGATCGTGGCTTTGCTTAAGAAGCAGGAACGGTGTGAGTTTGGGCATCTTGAAGAGCGCGATATCACCCGATGCGGCAGCGATGGCGGGCCACATGTCTGCACGTGTACACGGGCGTCCTTCTTTGTTGATAGTCTCAGTACCCTTAATGTAACCGCGCAGGTATTTTGGCTCCAGGGCCATCATGCTAGTGCACACAATATCAACCTGCTCAGGGTAAAGTGAAGGATCTGGTTGGGACACTTTGACTATCTTCCGTACGAAGTCTGTGACCTGATTCCCTGTTGTCTGGCGTCGCAGGGTAGCCTTGCAGAGGATCTCACTCCCATATGTGTCGAAAAGACGAGCGGAGGAGGGAAGATCCAGGGACTGGGCGAGGTTCTCGGAGGCAATGACTGTGATGATGTGATCCTTGATTGTGCTTGCGAACGTTTCTGCTCTCTATTAGTATCTTCGGAAGTCAGGCTGGTGAAGTGCACTCACTGCAGATGAATCGATAGCGCACTACATTCCGCTGGCCAACCTTCTTTGCAAGCGCCGCTATGACTTCCTCGAAGACCTCCATGGGTAGGTCTAACAGCGGCATGTCGAATAGTCTTCTTGAATAGATGTTGATGCGTAAACGACTGATTCGGATTTGTTTCAAGGAGGATACTTCCTGTGGTATCAAAGAAGACAATGGTTTTAGTAAGATGTGAAGCACGTGAACAGTGGGTCCCAATCCGCCTTCACCTTCGGGTCGTGACTCTTACTTGATGAGTCAGCTAGCGATCGCAACAATGGCACTAATGCGGCAGGTGAATGCATGGGTGAAGGTAGCTTTCCCAGTCGACGTGGTATTCGCCCCAACCCGCTCTGTTCTACGGGCTTAGCAAACCTAGCGAGACGTCTAGGTACAAATTGTGCTGCTCGCATGATCATGTCCTGCCGATGGTTTGTAGTCTCCTCAATATCGTGGGATGTCATGGCAAACACCGACAGCATGTCAGCCGCCTATAGGCTCAACCTATTAGTATGAGCGTGTTCTTGTCAATGTGCATGCACGACGACCTGTATCACTTGCGAGATTTTCGAAACGCTACCACCTGCTCGTTACCATTTTCTGCTTGCTAATCCAATGGCCAGAGATAGTCCAAACCTCATGTTTACACCTTCCAGGGAGGGTAACCAGCCATACAACCCAGAGTGAGTTGAGCAGAACTAGCTCGCATCGTTTACTGACCATCAATAGCCCCACCAGCGATACCATTACTGTGAAAGTGGGGATGCCGAATTTCAACGATGGAAAGGACATCTTTACTGTTCAGAAATCCGTCCTTTACAACGATGATCAGTTCCGCGGCGGGTGTTGGATCAATAACGATAGGACAGTACATCTCAGAGCGAACCCCGAAGACTTCAAGACCTACATGACATGGCTGTACACCCGCCGACTGCCGGAGCATATTGCGGACCCAATGCTGGATACCGAGTCGAACCTGAACTGGCTGCCGACTTCATATGGTCTCGCGCGTAAAGTTGATGATCCACGTTACCAAGACCTTCTGATCAGTCGAATGATCGAGTGCGCGCGAAGGATCGAAAGCTTTCCAAATATATCGTTCGTCGCAAGGTTATATGACGTGACAGAGGGTCTTGCGCATACGCCGGACATCCTTGGTCGAGATTTGATGGTAGATATCTGGACGTGGAAATGCCGACCTGAATGGCAGAGCCTAGACTTTCTCGAGACAGATTACATACAGTTCGCGATGGATCTGATTCCAGCGTTAATTGCTCATCGCAATGCATCACCAGAGGAGTTGGTGGAGCCATGGGCGAGCTCCCAGGCTGATCGGTATCTAGTTGGAGCAACTCAAGACGAATGATGGTGAGAAGGCATTTTGTTAGAACAGGCTGAAACTTGGGGCAGTTTCTTACCAGACCAGCGCGAGAATAAAGATGCAGCAGCTTACATCCTATCCTTGGCAGGAGTTTGCTTCGGCTGGATAGCACTATGACGTACAGCAGCGGCTTGGCAAACGCGTGAAGACGCGTCATCTCGCGATTACCCATCACGGGCTTCCATTCACCCACTTCAACGCATATGGTTCCGCGCATGAAGAGTCATATTTACACCACTTGATGCTTCCGCAAATGTTGCGATGTGAAATCTCTAATCCGCTATGACCTTAGTGTTCACATGGCGCAACCACAACGACCGGCATCGCTATTCCCCACTCGAGGACCCTGCCGAACTCACGATACATGCGCCGGCCACTCCTTCGGTCTTTCAAATGGCAGGATACCGTAGAAGCGTTCGAACACGTCGGCGTCCTACTGATCTTCTGCGTCAAGTCTACCAATACTGGCTCGCGAAGTCAGACAAGGGCTGTGCAGTACTTCTAGTCTACGGCTGAGTTGCTGAAGTGGTGTTGTAATATGAGAAGGATACTGGCTTGCAGCGACCATGGTACGCTTGCGCAACATTATGTCCACAATTCTGTCACCTGGAAACCGTGTTGTAAACACCCCAGGCAAGAACTTACCGTACTCGTTCCCAGGTAGGATGGCTTCCCCTGCAAAACGCCCAAAAAGAGCCAATGCTTATAGTGGTCCTGAGTGAGTCTATGAAACTCTGGTAATGGCGTTCACTTACAAAACATTAGCTTCACGGGCACAACAATCGCCGTCCGAGTCGAGGACGAGATTTTTCAGATTCACCAGAAGCTGGCGTGTGCGAGCTCAGATTTCTTCAAAAACGATGCCGGTATCGTCGCGATCGACGTCGAACAGAAACCCATCCGCATCGACGGTCATACCGCGGCCACGTTCAGAACATACCTCACTTGGCTGTATACGAAGCAGATGGAACATGTAACGGACATAAAGCATGTGTGGCAAACCTTAGTGAGGGCCTTCCTCATAGGGATCACGTTGCTCGATACCACGTTTCGTAATGCAGTCATAGCAAGCATGACGCAGCGCGCGTGTGCCGGGAGATACCCAAGTCTCAGCCTGGTGAAGGAGGTCTATATTGGAACATCTAAGGGGGCGTTGATAAGGAATCTCCTGGTTGACATATGGGTCATAGCACGGCCAACTGTGTTGGACAAGCTACGGGACCCGGCATCCGAAATGCACGGAGACTTCGTGAACGACCTACTATGGGCATTCTTCACATCGCCCCAATCTCGTCCGGCAGACGAGAAGCCGTGGCTCACTGATCCACATCGCTATCTTGAAGCTGTCGGTCAGACCGTGGTGGCTACACCGTCCAATCTTTGAGGGAGGATGACCGCTTTTGGCACTTCTCCCATTTCATGACCTATGCGTTGGTTATAGTAGGCGCACGCGTTGTTTTATCACGTAATCGATTTTTACCGTTTGAAAGCTGCTATGTGACGGCAGCGTTATTGTTAATATCACGGTACACATCATAGTTCGACTCGGCCAAGGAGACCCAGGCACCGTATCAAACACTATCAGCCATCGGATGCAATTATGTAGAAGCATGGCTACTAGTATAGGATAAGCTACCATTCGTCGATTGCAACACTCGATCAGGAACGTGTGATTCCAGCACACATGTTGATGCCACTGACAATGTGTTGAGTTATTGCGCCGCTCGATCGGCCTCTTCCAAAGCCTTGCCCGCGCTCATCTTGCCTAATGTCTCAACTTCCGGCATAAGCGCTGGGCTCGCATCTTCGACGCCATCGGTGTTTCCATCCCACTTCAAGCGAACAAGAGACATGCCCTCGGGGTCATCAGCATCCTCTTTCTCTGCGACCAAGATGATGTTTCGATGGACGGTAGGTCTGAAAGCACATTGTCGTGGATGCGCTCTACGAATATCGGCCCAAGGATCGCTTGAAGAATGCCAGTTCCCGAGCATCTGGAAGCGAGACTCTTCTGTCCTCTTCATCTTTGCCCATGATGGCTCGATCATGGAGCTGATGGGTAGGGCTATGCAGAGTTAGCTAACGTGCAAAGTCTCTTACATGAGCACATGCGTTAGGTACCTTTTTTCACCAAGCTATACCACCCGTACACTTTCTTGGGCGACGCATCCGAAATGGCAGGCCCCTGCGTTGCCTTGTCATATTTGTCGTCATCATCCGCATATGGGTCATCCCCACCCCACTCCTCAGCCTCCCGTTCCTTCAGATCGAACCAATCTTGGTTACCGATATCGATATTGGAACCCCATGAGTCCGCCTCGACATTGTCGCAACGTCCAACGCCTGGAACGTCTTCCTCGTCTTGGCTCGAGTTGAGCAGAACGACTAAGACTCCGTTGTTGTCGAAGTCCTTCTGGTCGGCTACTATGAAGTAGAGCGGATGAATGGTATCGTCTTGGTCGCGTAGCTCGATGAAGTAGTTGTAAACGTCTCGCAACGAGCGACCGCTGAAGTCTGGCTGCGGAGCGAATTTAGACCTCCCCGTACTGAGCTCGCCCGTGTTGATGCTTTCTTCAAGCCGTTGGCTGTCTGCTGTGTCTAGAGCAGCTGTGTAGAAGATGGCAAACTTGAAACGATTTAGACCATTCAGTGTGGCGCGGTGGTATTCTGTATTCGGCGCTTTCTTAGGGAGTGTTTTCGCGAGGTCCTTTGTGGAAGACATATTGTGTTGAGTGGTCTGATTGAGGGCAAAGAGTTGGTTTGGATGAGGTGGACGGGTAGATAGAAACCACGTCTCAGCCGTAGTTTCCAGCTGGGTCAGTTCAGGCAACTGCGAATGCGTGACGAGGAGCGCTATAATGGGGCGAGCCTTGTGACCAGAGATGGCCCTGCGTACACTATTGTTGCTCAAATTTTAGCGTCGCAGCTGGGCGTAAGGCGATGATGCGAGGTACGATGAGAAGCCACAAGTGGGGCAGGGTCGCACCAGGCTTATGTGTGGTGCTGCACACTACCTAGGTATGATGTCAGAGATTGGCTGTCATTGGAGATCTCACTGGCGGGCCGAGCCTTCCCGTTCATCTACAGCCTCTTACTTCCCGCACGTCTTGACAGTAATGTACGACAAGTTCGCTTTCTCTCGGCCTGTCCGATGAAAATGTCTCAGTATGCTGACGACTTAGTCCTATAATCGAAGGTTGTACCATTTGTAGACATGGTTAAGTCAACGACTGCTGACCTGTTAAGTTTATCAGCTGTACTAAATACCATGGAATCAAGGGCATTGGCCAGTTTCGACCATGATCTCGATGACAAGGCAGATATATGCCGAGTTACGGCTTATTCGCAGCAAACCTTCGGGTAATCAGCGTCCAAGTTGCTATACCGGTGAGATTAAGCCCGCCATCTCAGGCCGTCATATACGATAACTACAAGCAGATCAATTTCCGCCCCATCCTTGTAATCTCTACCCGAAGCGGCTCCAACTGCGGTTCTGCAGATCATTGGCAAGGTTTTGAAACTAGTTCAAGAATTCGATCATACGATTGCATTGACTATGTTCAGCTGTGAGTACAGAAGAGGCCTCCCAATACTTGGGCAGGGTTGACGTGGGCATGTAAATGGGGGCCACGACGAGTATATAGAAGGCAGCCTCGATATCATGTATTCCACACAACAGCCGTTTTCAAACACTTGAATACCTTACTACACAAGCCATCATGTTCAAGACTCTCCTGAGTTTTGGTCTGATAGCCTCCGGGCTCGCCGCACCCGGCATGATCTTCAACTGTGGCGACAACCTCCAAGGTAAACGTCCCTGGCTTCTTGAAAGCGATTTATACTCAACTTAGTTCAGATATCTGCAACAACATGTGCTGGGGCGCTTACTGCACTCGCCCATCGTTCGGAGTAACACTGAACTATGACCGCTATGGTGGTACTGGAAATCGTGACAGTGCTATCGGAAGAGCCCGTCAAAGATCAGCTGGCTGTCTTCCTAGGCCTAACCGTTGCAGCGTAAGTCTCCCTCCACTTCGCTCAAAGGAAGGACTGAACACCCTGACGTCTACGTTGATGTTGGATCACCTACTTTGCATTTTCTTCATCTTGATGTAGACTCCAGGGTGTTCAGTATTTTCCTTGAATGAGGTGCATCAACTTTCCAAAGGATTCGCTGACCCACTTATAGACGCGCGGTGGTAATCCACGTGCTGGCGAGAACTGCGACGAATATCCATTCGCCAGTACCTCTGATGCCGATGCGCGTGGTCAAGTCACCAAGTGTGTCATCAACAGGCACAACGATCGTCAGGGTAATATCATCCAACAATACACCACCGGCACATGCAACAGCCAACCCTGCCAGTTTATCGTCGGCTTTGGCAATCCGGCCGCAAATGGTGTGCAATACTGTCAAGCGTACAGCGACCCTCACGGCCAATGTATCAATAACCAGACTGCCCAAATCTACAAAAACGGCGGTCCAGATGTGCGGCCAGCAACGAAGAAGCGCTCTGAGCTTGAGCCTATCGCACAGGCCGCGCTATTCCGAATGGCTAGTGGTATGGAAGTGTTGTTGCGTAAGTCTTGTTCTTATTCCCCTTGGTTTACTAGTGCTAACATTCCTCTAGCAATCGACACTGTACTCAACAGCACCTGGGTCCACCCCACTCCTCGCAACATGACTATGAAAGCATGGGTCGAGGAGAACGACGAGGATGAAGACCACATTGCCTGGGACTTTGTCGAGGACTTTGTCGCTACTAGGCTTGACTAAAGCCGCATTGACACTTTCCCATTGCTCAGCCTCGCAGGTTCTCCGTGTTCGCCGAAACACTGACTTTCATTGAAGCTTGTTACTGCATCAGACTACCTATGGTCACTTATCAGATCTCTCAATACGACTGCATATTGAAACTCAGCATCGTGGCTAGGAAATTCTTATCTATCGTTTTCTATCTACCTAGGTATAGATCATTAGTTTGTAGCAAGCAATCTACTACACCCAATTCGCGCCTGACATATCATCATCCTCTTTATTCTCTTCATCATCACTCTCAACACGGCCCTCCTCCCCAGACGCTTTAATCGACTGTGACTTTTTGATGGTCCGGGATTTGACAACACGTTCTCTGTTGGGCGATGGAGTCTTCTTCTTCCCTTTCGTCGTAGTAGCTTTGGCCTTGGTAGTCTTGTTTCCCTTAGCCTTGGTAGCCTGCTTTCTCTTCGTAGCCGGCACAGCAGGTTCTGCTGTCGTGATACTCTCGGGGCTTTCCATGTCATTGTCGTCCGAGTCGTGAGCAGCCACATCCTCCTCCTTCTTGACCTTTCTACCTTTAGTTCCGCTGTTCTTTGTTACTTTGCCAGCCTTTGTCTTCTTTATGTCGTTCTTTTGCTGTTGCTTGGCCCCCGTCCTTCTCTTGCCAGTAGTTGTAGGCTTCTTCACAAGAACACATATAGCCCTAGCGCCTTTTCTCTTCTTAGGTCCTGGATTGAAACTTAGATCGGGTGAAGGTGACTTTGACTTTGACTTTCGCAGCGCCGCCTCCTTGGCGGCCGCTTCTCTGGCCGCGTCCTCTTGGGCTTTTCGGAATGCATCCTCGTTGAGATTTATTCGAACCACCGATCGTCTCTCTCGGGTAGAAGCCGCGGTGGCAACGATCTTTGGTGGCATAATGATGATTATCGACTGTCTGGGATTGGAATCAATGCAGCGGCTTGGTGATGAGTTCGATTGGGTGTCACAAAGTAATTGTGTTCCGAAGATTGGCGAATGACTTTGTGATTTTGAACCGTAGACGGGATACTAGGCGCGAACTAAATAGCCCTGTCTTGTGTCGACCGCCGCATGCGGCCGATATGGTCGCGAACAAAGCCATACCAAAGAACCACAGAGGTTGAAGTAGATCCACCAAGTGATTATGGCGAAGATGCTTTGTTCCGAGACGTCAAAGATCGAGGACACTGTTGCGAGTTAGAAGTCAACTAACGTGAGGGCCGACTGCTCTGCCTTTGTCTGTGAGTTAGAGGGTCTTGGGCACATCCAGCTGCTACACATAGACGCGCAGAGTCGAGCCAGCTGTCATTAAAACACATAGGTATTGAGGGTATACTACCAAATGAAGATACATGTTATGACACTTCGTGTGCCTTCGCCTGCTATGGTCGTGATCGTAACAACCTTGCAAACACCAAAAACGCGCTGAGCCGCAAGAAACGCCAACAACACCGCAAGTCGTACGCTCATGTAATGATAGGCTAAATACTCGCAATGCAAAACGAGACTAACCAGCAAATGCAAATCGCTTAAGGTTAAACAACGGTTTTCGGGGTGAGCACTCGCTCTCGGCTTCGCTATCCGGAACAAGGAGGTCTTCGCTCCCCTTCAGTGATGATCTCCTCCTCTTCGCAGGCGTCATAGGAGGCGGTGAGCTCGCGGCTATGACTACCTCGGCCTCTACAGCCGCCCAAGCAGAGACTGCAAGTTTCACGTCTACATCTTTCTTGGACGGTGTTCCAGGGATGATGGGTTCCTCATCGGGCGCCGAAAAGGTTGTAAGAGCAGAAGCTTGAGATGGCGGCGTAGGTTGCCATGCCTCAGTGGGCCGACGGTTCAGACGGCTCTTACTAGCTCTTGGCATACCCGGTGCTGGTGAGGGAGACTTGTATGTGAACTTTGATCGCAGCTCACTCATTGTGGATGCGATTGCAGCGCTAAAGGCCGTTTCGGGCTCGGGGGAAGATGCCGGCGTAAGAGTGCCGATAGTATCTTGTGACTGCGCAGTGCTGCCCCTGGAGAAGACAGTCGACTGTGATTCGCTCCTAAAGCTGGACTGTGTATCACTGAAGACCCGTAGCTTCTTCTTAGGGGCAGACGCCGCTTGCTCTAAATCAGCCACTTCGGCCATAACCTCCTGTATTGAGTCATCAGAATAGAGCTCGAAGTCCTGGTCGGTCTTCCTCCTCCTAATCTTCTCTCGGTGTAAGGTTGGGCTTGGTTCTGGTATAGAAGGTGCGAAAAATTGGCTCCGCACAACACCCTCGTCGCCAGCGGCGAGTGTCTCGGAGACAGAATCGGAGCACAGTCGTTGTCTCTTAGAAGGATGCGGAACCGAACGTCTACCCGCAGTTGGATCGGTCATGGTGCGTCGTGGTGGTTGAGGCGCCGTACTAGGCGTCGGAGGATTCGGTCGTAAACGGGAGATTGGAGCCGGTACTGCGGCCCATCCATTTGACTCTCTCTGTTGTTCCAGCAATACTTGCTGGCTGGGTGATGGTGTGAAAACATTTGGCGACAATTCGGCCAACGGCGTACGCTTAGGCTTGAAGAACGAATCAATCGGCTTTGAGCCTTTGGCGTCGGGGGTCTGAACAATCGTCGAAGCTCTCCGAGAGGGGCCAAACGATTTTCCGCTAGGCCTACTATTGCTGGTGATGTTCATGGGAAGTTTTGTGCGTGGGTATAGGTCACCACTTGCAACACCCATGGCGAGGTGTGCAGGTACCTCCTCTCCGATGTAAGGCATATCAGCGAGATCGACCCCTTCATCCAGTGGCGTAAGATTGACCAGCTGCTTGGCGACCGGACAGTAGACCCATTGGTAAAGGAAGGTTTTTTCAGCCTGGTCGAACAACTCCAAGAAACCAGCGGGCACCTTGAGCTTGCCGTCATATTGCGCAGCTTTGACGAGACGATCGACAGTCTTGTGTTTCCGCAACATTCGATGGGCAGTCTTCAGGCCAAGTCCACCAATACCTGAGAGATAATCGCAACCGCTCAGGATGCACATTCTTCGGAAGTCGGCGTCAGACCATCCCACAAAGCTGACCTCCCTGCAGGCAGTGAAGTGATTCCGGTTGACCTCGATGCATTCTCCGTATTTGTCCAGCTTTGTTATCAGGCACTTGACGCCAAAGACGAGCAGATCGGAGTCCTCGGACAAGACCCCATGGATTATACCCTTCCGCTCCAGGTATGCGAGCTGCGAATCAGCTTCGTAAGGCGCGACGACGTACTCGATGTTGTGCTGCTTCAGTTCTTCGATGACCATCCGCGCCATTTCCGGTGTCACGTCCACGCTCTTCTGCAATTCCTGTTGCGCCTGGGCTGTCTTTCCGACCTTGAGGAGTTCCAGCCCGAGCCTCTTGCCCTCCTTTCTTCGCTCCCTTCGATCTTTCTCTGTGCCAGCTTTGCTCGGTAGGTTGTCTCCGTCGAATACTAGGTAGGGGGTGACGCCGAAGTGGATGAGCATGCGGACGCGGTGCATGACGAAGTCGACATATCTAGGGATTAAGGTCAGCAAATGCTCGTCGTCCATGGACGCATCAACGCATACTTAGTCGTCGGCTTCTCGAGCGCCAGGTCAATCGCACAGGTCGCGGTAGCGCGGTGGAGCCAGCCATACGTGTCGACGCCTATCGTCTTGCCGGCGTATTTCTTGAGAGTGCATGGTTGCTGAACCGACTTGAGCAGCGGAAGGAGGCCTGTTCGGCTGTCAGTATTGTAGACGGGATGATTGGGTGTACCCACCTGAGATGCCCATCTTGTACCCTTTGCCGCTCACGCGTCCGTCCTATACAACGGGCAGAGAAGCAACAGCTACCGCAACATGATGGTTTCGCAGTCTGGTGACGAGAGGAGAAACGCCCTTATGCACTGCGAATCAAGCGAAAAAGAAAAGGGAGCGCGTTCACATCGATAGTGTGGAGCAGTCATTGATCGCGGGTACACGAGATGACAGGAACGCGCCCCGCTAACATATGCACTAGTCCGCGTCCGACGGCTAGCGTGGTCGCCATCGCCGAGCGCCGATGGATATCCAAAATTTCTTGCGCAGACACCAACACCAAACAAAACGTCAAACTTTCAAAATGGTCAGCAATCGTCTCGACAAGGTGCACAAGAAGATTACGAAGAAGAAGGGAAAGAATCCCAACCTGCACGAGGGCAGCCGGGATACCAAGCGATTACAGAGCGCAGCCCAGAGAGACGAAAAGCTCAATCGCGTTTTCAGACAACGAAAAGATCAAAATCGAACATACGGTATGCGTTATGTTTGTAATCGATTGACTGTATTATCGCTAACTAGTGATAGTTAATAGAGTCAAATCGTTCCAATCATATACCGCAGAGCATGTTGCACCACTCAGCGTACCGGAGATCCAGGCCATGATTGAGGATTACTTAGGTCGCGATGACGAAGAGCTGGCCCAACTGAAGGCAGCTCGTCGTCCGGGACGACCAGCAAGCACGCGTCAAAATTTGTTGGAGATCCACCAGAACACCGAGCGAGACGAGTATGCCGCTGGCTTCTGGGTACCGGATCTTGAGGACGAACTCAATTTGAAGAAGCTGAAAGAGTGGAACGGCGAGTGGGCTCAGCTGGCCACGCTCAAGTTTTCCAGAATCTCAAAGGAGGGGTTCAAGAAGGAGTCTAGCTTCCCGCCCAAGGGCATGTCATGAGCGAATGAGAAATGCATGGATCGGAGTAATTGAAGGATTCGGGCGTTTGGGAGCAGATGACAACAATCGACGTGGACTTAGCGCTACGTCGTAGATATACCCAGAAAAGTTTAATTTACCACACGAAGGCTTACAACATACGCAACATCCTTTTAGCCACTTGTTTCAGGATCGAATTTGAAGTATCAGGAAAGGGAGCGTGGTTATCTACTTATACTGTTGAAACGCAACATGCCAAACCTTCAAGCCCTTCGGCCCGCCCCTCAGATACGGAATAAGTTTTCCAAAGTCCTCAGTCTTACGAAACTCCATATGCGCCTCTACACTCGGCCATCCGAAAAACGCCGCAAACAGCTTTCCATCAACACCCACACCCAAACTCTCGTGCTGGTGCGGTTCAACACTCCATCCACCAATCACTCCTTTGGTCTCAGCATTAGGTATCTCGATTGCCAAGGTGCGGAAAGTAGAGAACTGGGAGGTGTATTCCTCTTGGTTGTAATCGGAAGTGAAGAATGCGTTTACGCACTCGGTTACGGGCATGGTGAATGGGTTCTCGCCTTCAGAATGCGAAGTGGGAAAGTTGACGTGGAAGATCGTTGGGTCCTCGCCAGATGCAAGCTTATCCATGATTGTGGCCAGGAAAGGTTGGTAGCCTGGGGTCTTTTCGAATGTTTTATGGTCCTGGATTGATTCCCATTCTACATTTGGTCAGCGAACGTGCAAAGTGACACCACTTGCGCAGCGATCTATCGAATAAGACATGAAGGGTTACGTACCCACGGCCATTTGCACGGTGTCTGGGTTCTCGATCTGTCGGCCCCAGTACAACGCTTTAACACCGGGCTGTTTGGCGATAGTGCTGAGGGTTGACTCCCATGTTTGTTTCGCTTCGCCCGTTGAGAGATCGAGGCCGGGTTTCATGGGTATGTACACAATCTCGGTAGCGTTTTCCGACATTTTGGGTACCTAGGTATGTAATATGTAGGGATGTTGTTGGTGGCGGTTTGCGTAGTGGGGATTGAAATAGAGGAGGTGGGACGATAGTAAGACGTCAGACAATGAGGCAATGGAGAAGTAGAGCTATGGTGTTGTTCTGTCGCATCTTGCTACATGCATACGATGAGCTGTTTGCCCCACACCAAGCTTGACGTAGGGAAGGGCCGAAAGTGGGGTAACAAAGCGGAACCAGACACGATCGAGGCCCTTCC